GCTGTCAGACAGGGATCCGGGGGCTGCGGAAGGAGGGGCCGGGTGGGGGTATGGCAGAGGGGCAACTTGGGGGCATGGAGGATGGGCTGAGTCCCACCCTTGTGCCCACCGTAGCCTTGCTGCCCACAGTTCTTTTCGAAGTGCACAAATTTGTGCACTGGCCCCCTAATAAATTATAAAAGCCCAATATTGTTAATATTGAAAAATTACTAAACACATTGTTCCTAAGCACAGCAGTCCTTGGTTTACGTCAGACTCGATGTATGTCATTTCATGGTTACGTCGCCATCTCCCATATATACTGTGTGTGTGTATATATATATATATATATATATATATATATATATATTTTTTTTAATTGATTTCTTACAGAGAGGAAGGGAGAGAGATAAAGAGTTAGAAACCTCAATGTGTGAGAGAAACATCTATCAGCTGCCCCTTGCACCACCCCCCCACCTGCCCCCACCACTGGGGATGTGCCCGAAACCAAGGTACACACCCTTGACCGGAATCGAACCTGGGACCTTTCAGTCCGCAAGCGAACGCTCTATCCACTGAGCCAAACCGGTTTCGGCTCCTATATATTTATTTAAAAAAAAAAAAGTTGTCATTTTGACGTATGTACATATGTGCTTTATGCTTTTTATTATTTATTTACTAAAAGTAAAGGTCAGGAATTGTTCTTTTAAATTATTTTTACTATTTCACTTCATTACTACTATGTATGTGCTCCATGTGATTGACATAGGTGCTTATGTAGGTGGGTTCTGACTTACAGCGAAAATTGCGTTATATCACACAGTAGAAATGGATCTCCGGTGTAACCCGAGGACCTACTGTAGTAATACAGATTAGTCAAATTACTTTTAAGTGGCCTTGAGATTAATAATTTTAAAAGAACCCCCAAGAACATTCTACCACTTCAATAGCCAAATAAACTTAGAGCAATTAGTCACTAAAACACACATACACATAGTGACTGACTAATGTTTATCTGCAAAACCTCAAAAATACCCATCTGCCCTTCCTACAGCACACGATGGCTGAAAATGAAAATCAAGGTGAGCTCTTCCTCCCAAGAGCATGCCCACGCTGCCCCTCATCCTTTCCCCCCCCCCACAGGTATGCGTCTCCTAAACTCTTAAGATCCAATGATGGGCAGCAGCAATTTGTCCCAGACAAACTCTCTGAACCTGATCCCAAGGCCCCTTTTCTCTGACTTAATGAGCCAAAGCAGAGCAGCCTAGTCTCATTTCCTCAGTCCTTCCTTGTTTCATTGTCCCCAGCTTTCATAAATGACTCCTAAAATTCAGAAAAAGAAAAAGAAGTCGAAACCGGTTTGGTTCAGTGGGTAGAGCGTCAGCCTGAGGACTGAAAGGTCCCGGGTTCGATTCCGGTCAAGGGCATGTACCTTGGTCACGGGCACATCCCCAGTGGGGGGTGTACAAGAGGCAGCTGATCGATAATTCTCTCTCATCGATGTTTCTAACTCTCTATCTCTTTTCCTTCCTCTCTGTAAAAAAAATCAATAAAATGTATTTAAAAAAAGAAAATCAAAATGAGACAGTATATGAAAGTACTTGAAAAGCACTTGAAATCATAACATATGTCAGTAAGTAGTAGAGTATACACGAAGAATAATTAAATACAAGTAATGCTCTAAGTTGGTATAGTAAATGAGTAGGAGACATGGTGTCATTAGCCTGGCATCTAATCTTAGTTCAACCATTAAGTACCAGTAGCCTCATGGTAAGACAAGTCACTGATGCCCACTGAGCCCCATTTTCTTGTGGAAAGCAACAGAATTGAAATGAAGTCCTTTTTGGCTCGCTACTTTGATTAGTAACATTTCATACCTCAATTACTATGTTAAATAAACAGCATTTCACATAACTAAATATTCTCACTGTGTGCCACCACATCACAAGTGGATATCCCAGCTTTTGTAATTCAGCAGAGATAGCAGAGAATACTACCACCTTTTATTTTTATTTATTTTTTAATATATTGTGTATTGATTTTTTTTTTTTTACAGAGAGGAAAAGAGAGGGCTAGAGAGTTAGAAACATCGATGAGAGAGAATCATCGATCAGCTGTCTCTTGCACACCTCCTACTGGGGATGTGCCCGCAACCTACATGTCCTTGACCGGAATCGAACCCGGGACTTTTCAGTGGCAGGCTGACGTTCTATCCACTAAGCCAAACCGGTTTCGGCCTACCACCTTTTATAGACTTATGTACAGACCGGTGACATATTCAACACATTATTACATATTCATTCATAGGATGGATCAAAGATTAAATCAGCTGAAGACAGATTTTATCCCTCACTTATCAGACCAATGAGCTGAAGTCAAGATCAAGCCATCTACAACAATGCACGGCTGCAAAAGTAAAAGCTGAAGGGGGAGAGTAGCTCCCATGCCCTTCTCAGCCAGGGATAACTGAGCACCAGACGTGGAAATGTAACAGAGCCACCTTCTAATGTCCAATTGGCTGTGGCAGAAACGCAGGCAGTCCCTCATTCACCTTTGCTAAACCACTAGGCACTTGTTTTCTGGCTGCCAGAGACACGATAATGAACAAAAGAAAAATGCCTGGCCTCACTGAGCTTACATTGTGGTTGGGCATGAGCAGCAAGGCAAATGAGTAAAATATAGGTTATAGTACAGTGGTAAGTGCTATGGAGAAAAACAAAACATGAAAAGAGAGTAGAGAGCATGTGTTTGAGGATTTGCAAATTTTCTTTTAAGCTGGCTGGATGCCACATAAAGAACTACAACAATAATGCATCTAGAGTTGTTTTCTTAAGGATTTCCCCGGAACACTTTGGATACCGGGAAGACTCTGGCCACTGATTCCAATTTGAGATTGATTGCTCACACCTCTGAAATGCCAGCTATGAGTTGTCATATCAGCAATCTAAACACCCTACTAACAAAGACTCCCACCACAACCCCACCTTCAAAATCACAGAGTGAACCGAAACTGGTCTGGCTCAGTGGATAGAGCTTCGGCCTGCGGACTGAAGGGTCCTGGGTTCAATTCCGGCCAAGGGCATGTACCTTGGTTGCGGGCACATCCCCAGGTGGGGGTGTGCAGGAGGCAGCTGATCGATGATTCTCATCGATGTTTCTAACTCTCTATCCCTCTCTCTTCCTCTCTAAAAAGCCAATAAAATATATTTTAAAAATAAATAAAATAAAATCACAGAGTAAAAATTTATTTACAAAAGAGCCCTGAGAAGTTACAAGAGCATTTGAACTGCTTGTGACTCGGAACAAATGTCTCCTCGTGTAAAGGTTCAAGTGTAGTTTGGGTACCGAGTTCTGCTAAGGCAAGGCACTTAAGAATGCCGTTCGCATCATTTTGCTTACTCTGACTTGTCAATTCTAGTGAGTTCTCTACTATCAGTCTATCTTTAACCAGCTTACTGGGAAGTATCTCCAGCTTTTTAGCAATTTTTTCCTCTTTTATTAAAAGAGCAACCCAGTTTGCAAGAAAATTGCTGTAAGACAGTTAACAGCCCCCCTTCCCTACAAGATCTGATACACTTGGTTAATCACTATCTCGTCAACCTTTAACCAGGTTAATTGGAATGGCAAATCAGGTTAAGCTTTGTTTTCCTAAAGTTTTAAAATGCTTTCCGAGTCGTTAACATTTCTCGGTCCTCTAGTTGTTAACTGCATCCTGAGAACTGCAGTAGTTTTAACATTCTCTATAGCTTACTTGGACGTGTGTGTCTATTAATGCACAGCCCTTCTCTTAAACGGAGTTCCCACAAGGAAGTGGAAAAGGCACAATGGACAGAGAACTTCAGGCTGGGCGGTCGGATCGCCAACCGGAGGAGACGATCCAGTACCAGAGGGTTTTCCCTGAGCCCACACCCGGCGTGGAGCTTGTTTGGCTTCTCGGCGGGAGCGGCGCTGCCAGCCACGGGCCCCGCCGGCTGCGCGGCGCTTAGGAGGCGAGCCGCCCGCAAACTTCAGCCGGGATCCGCGTGCTGGGCCCGGCGAGGGGCGGCTCTTCGCGGGCGCGGCCCCGCTCTGCTTGCGGGTCCGGGACCCCGGACGGTCCGGGACGGCGTCGGGGGGGTGGCCTGCGGGGTTCGGAGGCCCGGACGAGAGCGGGGCTGTGGGAATCCGAGGAGGGCCGACGGACTGCGGCCCGGTTCCGGCGTCGGTCATCGACAGGGGGGCGAAGGTCCCGTGGGGCCCAGGCTGAGGGTGGGCGAAGACCCCGGAGCTGTCCCGGGGGCCCAGCAGGGGAGTTTGCCGGGAGGGACCCAGGCGGCTGCGGGCGGGGGGAGAGGTGGGTGGACAGGGACTCCAGAGCCACGCCCGGCCGGCCCGGCCCCGCCCCGCCCCCGGGGCTCCGGCAGCGCCGCCGCGCCCGGCCCCCTCCTCACCTGATGTACGGGCTGGCCGCCGCCAGGATGTTCTTCTGCACCGGGATCTCCTCCCCGTCGAGGACCAGGTGCGCGTCGCAGAAGCGGGACTCCTCGCGGAAAGAGCTGAGGGCTCGCAGCAGGCGCGCGGCGTGCTGAGGGTCGCACACGGCGCTCCCCTCGGCCATCGCGGCGCCCGCTGGTCAGCCGGCCAGTCCTGTTCCCCGGACGCCGCCTCGCCGGACCCCTGGGGCTGTCCGCGTCCGGCGCGCTCCCGTCTACACAGCCCGCGCGCGCGCGCGCCCGTCCGGCCCGGCTATCCGACTATCCGTGATCCGTGAACTAGCGAGAGCCCTCGGACCGCGCCTGCGCCATCCTCGGCGCGAGCGGCCGGTACCTTTAAGGACCTGCTGCGTTACGTCATTTCTCCGCGACGCCCCCACGCTCTCGCTCCCTCCCTCCCGCCCGCCATCGCTGGAGGCAGCCAATCAGAAGCGTCGTTCCCCTGTAGGGCCCGCGGGTTGCCGCCCCCGCGCTGTCAGAGCCTGTCCACCACCCGGAGGGATCTTTGCGGCGCAGGAGGGCTGTGCGGCTGGCCGGGGCTCGGTGGTCGAGCCGGCGGCCTCTGGATCCCCGAGTCTCGGCTCTTCCACTCTAGCTGTGTGACCGTGGGCACGGTGCCCGTTCCTCACCGCTCCATCTGCAACCGGAAGATGATGACTTCTTAGTGTTGTGGACTAGCATGTGAGCAAGGACGCAGTAGGTGTAGTTTTTATTATGTTTGAGAGAAAAGCCGCTTCTCAAGTAAGAGCAGAGACGCGAGAAAACAGGCTCTGAAAAGAGCGTTTTGGTTGCGGCCTAGGGAGGGGATGTATTGTAGCTGATGAAGCTGGAGAAGTAAGCGGCAGGTCTTACATTCTGCAGGGCCTCCTTGGCTGTGGGAAGGAAGGTAGTTGGTCTTGGTTCCTGGAAGTGTTAGGAGATATGAAAAGGCTTTGAGAGGATTGTAGTTGTTTTTTTTTTATAAAGATCACTCAGCCGCTGCATGGAGAATGTGTGTGTGTGTGTGTGTGTGTGTGTGTGTTGCTTATATATCGCAGTACTTGAGGGAAGAGAATGATGGCCTAGATGGAAGGCTGATGATGGCTGTTGGCGGTAGTGGATGACTTTAGAAGAGTAGATAGAATTGTGAGGGAAGTGGAGTCCAGGATAATGTTCTGGGTTGAGTACCTGCAGGGATGTTGGGATCTTTGAGAGAGAGAGAGAGAGAGAGAGAGAGAGAGAGAGAGAGAGAGAGAGAGAGAGAGAGCGCGCGAGAGAGAGAACGCTGAAGGGGTGGGAAGTGAGAGAGGCCAGACATTCGTTGATGACAGGAAGCAACTCTGGATCAGCTTGACGTTTAAGGCAAGCCTCATATTGTCTGAGGTTTGCCCTTAGGCTGCTAAGGGCACTGGGAATGTGGAATGTAGTCACCATTTTGTACAAACAGGTGCTCAATAAGCTTTAAAGAAATAGCAATTTTATGAGGACCAAGGACCAGAAGAATGTGATCCTCAATCCAGATAAGACGAGATGTGGTTCTCACGGGATCAACTCAGTCTTTTCTTTCAGCCAAAGGCTCCAATGAAGTATTGGGTCTTTATCCTGAATCAGCCAAGGCTTTGCAGTTGCTGCTAGCAATCAGGGTATAGGACTCTACTAGAGTCACTGGCAAAAGGATGCAACCAGTGAAAGGTCTAGAAATTTACAGTCCCTTCTTCAAACACAGCTCAGTATTTATGGGTGAAATGACAAAAAATGTTTAGCATTCGCTTCAAAACAAAAGGAAGGGATGCAGGGAAGCAGGTGGGGGTGTAGTGAATCAAAAGTGGCGATTGGTTGTTAAAGCCGGGTTATGGTACATGGAAATTTGTTGTACTAGTCTCTGTACATTTGAGTTTGTTGTAAAATGTCATAAGCAGTAAAAAACAAGATGAGCAACTTTCTTCACCGTGATACTTGCCCAGTATCCCAGAAAGCAAACAACACTGTTCTCCAAGTTGTTGCTGTGTTTTGAACATTGCTTTGGCAGGAAACTTATTGTAATGAGTTTATTCATGTCACCTGCTACCTTGTATGTCTCTGTTTCCAAGTGCCAAGTACGGTGCCTAGTAGTGCTCAGTGAATGTTGGATGGAGGGATTAATATTTTTTAATTGATCTTAGTGAGGAAGTGAGGGGAGAGAGAGAGGAGAAAGAGAGAAATAAGATATTAATATGAAAGAGACATCATCAGTAGGTTGCCTCCTATATGTGCCCTGACCTGGAATTGAATCCCCGACCTCAAGACCTTCTGGTGCATGAGACAACGCTCCAACCAAACTGAGCCACACTGGCGAGGGCAGGTAGATGGAGGAATCTAAAAAACTGTGAATACCAGGCACTCAATAAATGTTTTCTGAATCATGTTCTATATTTTTAGTTTATTTGTGTTTGTCATTTTTTTCTCAGCTGGGTTGTTTTTCAGGTCAAAATGATACTCAGGACAGAGAGCGTTCTCTATACCATGTAGACATTTGATGAATTCTTATTGATTCATTGCTTGGAATGCTGGTCTACTCTTCAGATGCCAGAGGTTCCAAAACAAAACAAAGAACTCAAATAACAGAATCACCCTCACGTAACCAGTTATCCCGAAATGGGAGTGTTGTCTTAATTGAAGAGGTGAGTGGGAATTAGTCAGGCAGGTCCTTCCTGGTAAGGATGAACCTTCTCTGATGTTGTGACAGAAGGAAGGAATGAGAGGCCCTGGTTAAGGATTGTAGACAGACCAGCATCACTCTGGTACAAGGTAGTTGGTGGCTTGAGAGCAGCTAATGAGCAGAAGAACTTGTATATGCTTTCAATACCACCCTCACTGCAGTATTCCCCAACAACCCATTTTCCTGAATAACTCACATTCATTCTTCAAAATCCAGCTCAAAATGACCTTCAGGGAACCTCCAACCAGCTTCTCATGGCAGAGTCCCCATGCTAGGCCATGTTCGTATGTTCTGTGTTGCATAGACTTCACTGCACTGTAATTAACTGGTTTATAAGTTGGTTTGTGTGCTTCTCCAGAGTGCTTAGTAGATGCCCCCTCATTCTTTTAGGTAATTAGTTAGAGGTAGCAAGTTTAGTAATTGAGCAGGAGAAGCAGGATATAACACAATAGGGGTAGGTGGGATTACAGGGAGTTGAGGACACACACCCGCCTCAAGTGGGAGGATGCTCCTCAGCTGATTGCACATGCCCAGTGGTGCCAAATCCAGCAACTTTTTAAGAGATCTGAACATTCACATTCACATATTGAATGTCCCAGTTTTTTCAACATTAGCCACTAATTCAATTTGGGAAATAAAGATGCAGCATATGTCTGCAGACAGGATTGGGTTTTAATTCACTCCCAGAGGTAATCAGAAACCCATCTTGGTTTACTGAGAAGGGAATTAACAATCAAAGAGATGCTAAGCTCTCAATAGAAATTGCTGAGTCGAATTCAGGTGCCCCAAGAAAACTCATCCCAGTGTTGTAGGAAAGGAAGAAGGATTTTGCAGAGAGGGGCACAACCTATCCTTCCATCTGCTATAGGAGCCACTCCTGGTTGGGCAATGTTTTGCAGCCTTTCTTGATATTGCTTAAACTGAACTGGCTTTGATATTGTGTATGGCCATCAGAAAGGTGTATTTGGTGTTATTGTCTCTCAACATTCCTTAGATGTAAGACACCAGCTATTGTGAAACATATAATAAAGAGATCCGATATCATCCCAGCAGTTTCAGTCTCTGGTGACTATAACTGTCCCCTTCTGGTTTAGAGGCTAAACAACCCTCAGAAATAGGACTTGTTTTATTTTAGGTCCAAAGGATGTTCACAAGATATTAACAGGAGTCATTCAACAGATATTAAGCACCTACTGGTACATGTTGCAGATACAATGATGGTGAAAACATAGTTACCTCAGTGGTATCATTGTAGAGGTTTTTTACTCTGTGCTTTTCTGATCATGTATCATTTTTTACAATCAGAAAAAAAAACAAACAATTTCACTTGCAAAAAGAAAAGAGAACAGTTTTGCTTTGCTTTGAAAAAATGATCCCCCAAAGAAGAAAAGAATCACCCTGGGGTTTGGGGTTTTATTTTTTAATAAATGTTATAGGAATGGGAATCCAATGAAAGGAAAAAAACGAATAGTTTGAAAGCTCTTTACAAGTCATCAAATCCAATGGATTCATTGTATTGAAGAGAAAACTTAAGATGAGCAAACAGCTTGTTCAAGGTCATACATGTGACCTCATCGGGCGGAACAGACAGGCCTTGAGCTTCTGCCTTCCAGCCCTATAAGCTTTTCCATTACACCAAGTTCACTCTTGTTAAACATTAATTTGGTTGAGACAGTCTCTTCTGATTCATTTTAAGGCGGTCTTCATATATTTTATTGGGGTAAATCTGCCATTTATCCAAATCTATATATAGCCCATTTCTTTCCGAAAATCTAAGCTCTTCCAAATTGCTGAGTCAGAGAACATCTCAGTATTTATAACTCTTTAGTTGTTTCTTATATTTATACAATATTCAGAGAAGTGTCTCAGAAACCAGTGAACTAATTAAGTTGTAATGAAGGCAGTGACTATGTCTGTCTTAAGTTGATGCTATACTCCTTAGCACCCAGCACAGTGCCTGACACATAGTTAGGTGCTCAGTAAATACTTGCCAAATGAATAAATGCTAATGGGTAGGAGAACTGAGATTTTTCTCTCCATAGGGAGGAAGAGAGCAGAGGACTGGGGAAGAAGGAAGAGAGGAAGGTGAGGGAGAAAGAAGAAGCTTACTGCACCTTTTCATCCCTTGCTTTCTAACCTGACATTGCAAACTTAGAGGAAGATGAATTATCAACAATGATTCAAAGGACCTGAAGGGAAACTTCCAAACCTTAGACGATTACAGTATAATAGCTCTGGGCATAGGTTGTCCCAATAATGTCTTCCAAACTAAGACCAGTGCAAGAAACTTCATTTCACTACCTAAAGGTACACCACTTTGCACTTGTACTCTGTAAATTTGATTTGGGTGTTGGATGTTGTTTATATACCCCAAAGCATGTAAAAGATAGTGAATTTTTGTCCTCCCCCTAAAATTATAGCCGATACATTTAGATCTGTTTAAACATCTGTGAAGTCATTTGAGTTTCTTTAATTCATTGGTTTTCCTCACTGCCTACCCCCTCTTTCTTCTATCCTTGGAGACTCTGCTTAAGTTACTCCCCTTCTTCAGTCTCTCCCTCTGTACCACTGGGTTAATCATAATAACTTCTAGAGAGTGGTTGTGAGGATTAAATGAGAGGATAGGAGTAGTGCTAACAAAAGGGTCTGGCATATAGTAGGTGCTCAATAAATGAAGTGTTGTTATGTTTATTATCAATCATCATCCTGGTTTTTAAATGGCATTCTTGCCCAGCTTCTAGTTTCCTTTCAAGTAAAAAAAATCTAGTTTCTTCACCTCTACAGTCAGGGCACCATCAGGTCTGAGTTTACAACCTCACTTCTTGTTTCTCCCTGACATTAATGCTAGGCTTTAGGTGAACTTAATTTATTTTCTAATTCCAACTGACATTTAAATTTCCTACTCCAGTTCTTTAAACACTTCATTCGACTCCTTTCACGTTCCAGCCTTTAATTTTATTTTTTAACATTTAAATTCATGTGATATTTTCTGAAATATGTTAGACCTCTTTAGCCAGCA